AGTGTCTCCGATGATTGGTTAATTGTTTATTAAAACCCACCGGAACTAAATATTTCAAATAAATTTAGAAAATCTTCTTATCTCTTTCCTTCTTTAATTGTCAACATTCAATCTGGATGAATATGAAAAACTAATTGAGTGACACTATTATTATAGAAAAATATAAAATTATTTATAGATCTTATTTGATAGTTTAACGATTCGATTAAAATGATTTTTTAAATATTATATCAAAATTTTGATAATCAAATGGTTTTGAATTTAAATCTCACTATTTTTATTAAAATAAATAACCAAATACAAAATAATGACAGATCCGTACAAATTTCAAATTCAAAAAATTTTTAATTGAGAAAGCATGCTAAAAATAATATAAAATTAATTTTAAAGTATCATATAATAACTTAAACTTTTATATTGAAAGGATTATTTTACCAGTACAATCACTTTTTTCTCTCATCATGCCAATTAATGCACATCTCTATGTCTCTCATTGCAAACAAGTTTTCAATATGCAAAATCAATCAAACTATGTAGCTATGATCATTTGAATATGCAAAAACCAACCAAACTATGAAGGAATGACAAAAGTATATTCACCTTCACATAAAAAAAAAAATGATAATTGATTCGAATTTATATGTTTAGCTAATCAAATGCATCAAATTCACCAAAGTGGCATTCCCAAAGTTTGCTAAGATAGCACAATGTTTCACATAAGAACAAAAGAGACTTCCACAAATTTCTAGACCACTTTCCTTACATTATATATTGCAATCCACTTGAGTGTTGTCGTCAATACTAAACTGGGCCCAAGCCTTTTGATTTCTTTATGGGGTTAGAGGTAGATTTGACCAAAAAGTATATGAAAAATAAAGACACATAAAATTATTAATTGTCAACTTAATGTGATATTTGATCAAAAATTAATGATTTCCACCAAAATGTTGTAATGCAAGTTCATATATAACGTTAGTAATCAACTTATATAGTTACAAGGTCATTCCGATCGAGGTTAATAATCTTATGACCTAATGATTTGAAAAAATATCTTCGAGGAGAAAAAGGAAAGGAAGGAGAGAGATGGAGACAATGAAAAACTAATGAAGCTAATTAGCAGACGGAAATAGAGGAATAATATAAAGAAAAAAAGCAGGGAAAGAACAAGAATACCTTTGTTTTTCTCTCTTTCGCAACCGTCTCAGAAGTTCCAACAAATAGACATTGTGGGACATGTCACTATCCCCACTCCTCCCTGCATTTGCGCTTGAGTCCTGTCATCATTTTTCTTCATACTGTGGAGCATAATTCCAAGCCCCTTACCCTTTAGTAGCTAGTAAGGTCATCCGGCTACACGAGATATTTATTCTCTTACTACAATTGTCCAAAACAAAGTTCCGACCATCATTTTTCCTTTTAATGCAGTATTCCAGCTTGTTATAAAAATGAGGAGACACGTGCACCGTGTTTTGCTTTTCTCCATTAATCGTGGAATCGAGCTATTCTCTCTTAATTTCCTATTTAGTTCGATCGACAAGAGAATTTTTATGTTGAAAAGTTTAAGCAAGAATATTTGACACCGACGCAAAATATGTAAAAAGAAGTAAATATTCTCGTGGGTACGTATAAAAAGAAAGGAGATCACAATCTGTATACATGGGCTGTATTGCGATGATTAGATGAATCATTTGTGTATGAGCAAGTATGCCTCTTGAAGGTATCATAATTGAATTGCCATTCCATTTGCTGTGGGATTTGACTGTACGTCCTGCATGCTTTGGCTGAGGTGAGGAATCGTTTTAGATGATTTGGGGTGATTAGACGCCCATTTTGATTTTGGTGCTCCACTTGAATGTTTGGGAGACCAAGTTGATGAGATGTGGGGAAATTACTCATTTTTGCACCAAAGGTGTTTTCGTCCGCATATATATATATATTGATACCCTTTTTTTAGGGCTTTTCGTTGCCTAAGAAAGCAATCTTTTTATTTGTTAATAATATATAGTAATTAAGATCGTCCACACACACACATATATATATTTCTTCTTGGAGGATATATGTATAGAAAGTAAAGTTATGAAATCTAGTACTGATAATTGAGTGTGTATAATGCTTCTCTTTTCTTCACCAAAAAAAAAAAAACTGGAGCCTCCTGAAAAATAATCGTCTAATTTCTAGCAGTAGTCCCTCTGTTCCCTTATGCAATTCATACGTTGATCCGGTTTTGGGTTGTGTATCAATAAGGTCTACTGGAATAACATAGGTAATTCAAATTTATAAAATTTAGAGAAATTTCTGTCATTCATATTTTTGAAAAATCTAAATGTTGTTTAGAAAATTATGTTACATTAATATTATTGGTATTCTAAAATATTTTTCTTTAAATAGCAAGTTATAACTTTATTAATTTGACCATTTAAATAATCATAATTCATTCCAAGCTGCTTCCTTCTATATGTAAAATCTCCATTAAGCTAGAGTAAGACATGCCGACAAGGAATGATGAAAAGGGGATTAACATGGCAAAGCATGCATTATTTTATTCAGGAATTAGGGGAAGACAAACCATTTTTCTTTGTTGCATCGAATTAGGACAAACATTGCTGATACGAAATCAACAGAAAAAAAAATGTTGTAGCCATCAGAATATATTCATTTCTTACACAGTCTCTTTGAAAAAGAAAATGGCACAAATTATTATTTTTTTCTCCGATTCTCTTTCATCTATTGATATATGGCGTCTTCAAAAAAGTAACTAGGAAGACGGATCCCCACTAAAATCAGGCTCACAATGAACGCAAATGTTCTGCTACTTTTTTATCTTATCAGCCAAAATTGTGTACTAATTCGTCTTGATGATCACTTGATTGATGTCCCACCAGTCACCATGATGACACCAAGAGTGATATATGTGAAACACAAACTAGGGTATGTGAAGCAAAAACTAGGGGTAATTAAACCTTAAACGTATCATCATATCCCATGAAAACTATCAGGTAACGCAAGTTAATTAATTACATTAACTAAATTTGAATGTGAAACTCTTTACTGAAAATATCAAATTTTAATTGTAACGTGTTATATTTAAATCATAAGAGATAATCCGTTAATAAATAAGCGTTGATTTATAATTTATAGGTCGGGTCCGATCCGGGGTTCGATATATACTTATGATCAAGATTTGAAAATTTATTCTCGAAATATCCTAAATTATATGGTATCTCTTAGCCACGTTCAACCAAAAAAAAAAAAAAAATTAAGTGCATAAAAACTAATTTACAAACACTCCTCCCACTAGAAAAAGAAAAAAAAAAAAAAAGGCGCTCTCTTTAGAACTCTGAAGTTGTATGTTTATATTGTATTGATTTCATAAGGACAAAGGAGATGTTCTAGGCTATTTCTAAATAAAAACTTCAGTGGAATTTTATCTGCACTAGATAATCAATTTATTTTCTAGCTAGCCAGTTGTATCTTTGCAAACTGACTCATATTCGGTTCTCATCATCCAGTCTCAGCTTTCGAGGTTGGAGCCACTTCAACGTATTTAAAGGAAGAAAAGCATAACAAGTTAAGCAAAAGCAGATTAATTAATTAGTTGATTTTTTTAACTCAAGACTCATCCCATAAGATGCATGAATAACTAGATTCCCCTGTTGATGAGTAAGAATCTTATATTTATTGATTAATCATTACTTGATTTGTCATGAAAAATGAATCTTGGATGATCTAACATCACTTCATTTGGATCGGGTGAGGAGGGTTGATCTCATCAACCCTAGGATCTACTTTGGGTTGAATTTGATTTTGGACATGATAAAGAGTTAATTCAGTCAAATCAAGATATCAGGTCAAAACCTGCTAGTTGATCACCGGTTGATCCGATCCAGACATGATGGGGGACAAATGTAAAAAAAAAAAATTACTTAAGGTGCAAATGGAACTCTGGTCATGCCACAGCAAAAAAAAAAAAAAAAAAAAGTGTGTGCATTTATGACACAAATTGTGCATAATTCATTGCATATAAAATTATAATGAAATTACATTAAAAAACATCAAAATCAAAATGTTTAATAAAAACTAGAAGATGATTTTATGAAACCACTATCTAGATTATGTAGCAAAAAAATTATTAAGTTACAAATATACTTGGGTATCAATTTTTTTTAATATATTTATATTATATTATATTAATCAAAATGAACCAACCCGCTAATTAGCCTAATAAATAAGCCGTGATTTGAAGAACCAAGAATTTAGCTAGATCATACCCCTAGTCGGATCTGAAAATTAAATTTCTTTTTTTAATACACACTCAATATTCTTAGAAAAATTAATTTATTAATATTTAAATTCATGATTTTTTATGAGAAATTATTACCATTGCACTACAAATTCTTTAGTAAAAATTAAGAGTTCTTTTGATGCAACGGTCTTAATTTAATATTCACTAGCTATCTCGAAAATTTGCACGTGCGTCAAGGTAGCCCTCCTCCGCCCCCAATTTCTCTTTTTCATTTTTCCTTTTTCCCCTAGCAATTTATCAAAAAAAAAAAAAAAAAGCCCTCTAATTATAAGTCCCTGTAGCCTTACGTCACTGACCATTTAGGAAGGTGACTCAGATACTCACTACTCTCTGCTGCCACGCGTGCCCCACCTTTGCTCTTTCCCTCTCATAGCCAAAATCATCAAATATTTTAACAAAATGGATAATTAGGATTCTATTTTGTTTTTTTTTTTAATCCAATATTTTGTTAGTTTTTTCAAAATGTACTATTTTGATGTCCATACACTTGCCCCCTTCCCTCCACCGTCCCCCAAAAAAAAAAAAAAAAAAAAAAAAAAAAAAGAAATAGGCGTTCGCTCCACTCTATAAGTATGGGAGAGCAGCTAGCAACTTTTCCCTAGGAAGAAACACAGCCATCTTGAGTTGTCCTTCCTCGATCTCTTCCTTTCTTTCCTTTCCACAAAAACAGAAGGAATCCCATCTTTGTCCAAAGAAAATGAAGAACCTTGGGTGCTGTCTCAAGTTTCTTGAGACTTCTAAACCTTACTTTGCCATGATCTCTTTGCAGTTTGGTTATGCCGGCATGAATATTATAACAAAAGTGTCCCTTAACCGTGGTATGAGCCACTATGTCCTAGTGGTTTATCGCCATGCCTTTGCCACTGCAGTCATAGCTCCATTTGCTTTGATTTTTGAGAGGTTAATTTAAATCAAGACTCCTACGTGGTTTTTGTAGCATAATACATCTTTTATCCTTACAAAAACCTTTGTTACATTTCAGGAGAATGCAACCGAAGATCACCTTTCCTGTGTTCATGCAAATATTCGTCCTTGCCCTTCTTGGGTTAGTCCTTCCTACACATTCCTTGTTGAATACTTTAATCATGCCATAGCTTAGAAATGTGTTGCTAGCTACTATATGCTTCATGCCTTGACGCTGAAACCAAGTTTTATGTTCATTTGATAGACCTGTGATAGACCAGAACTTTTACTATGCTGGGCTGAAATTTACATCCCCAACTTTCTCCTGTGCAATGAGCAACATGCTTCCTGCTATGACATTTGTCATGGCAGTCATATTCCGGTAAGCATATCAAACCAAAATCAAAATCGTCATCAATATCACTTCGTTAGGATTCTTGTTTGGTGTTGATTTGATGTTAGAATTTTCTCTAATTAATTTATTTACGTATATAGGATGGAGAAACTGGACATAAAGAAGGTGAGGTGCCAAGCAAAGTTGGTGGGAACTGTAGTGACAGTTGCTGGGGCAATGTTCATGACCTTATACAAGGGTCCTATTGTAGAGATGCTGTGGTCTAAGCAGATCCATCCACGTAAATCCTATGTGACTGATACCACAGGAACAACAGACAAAGACTGGTTCAAGGGTTCCATTATGCTTATCATTGCCACTCTTGCCTGGGCATCCTTGTTTGTTTTGCAAGTAAGTAATGATGCAAGAACTGAAAAGAAGATCTACAAGGGTCCTGCCGTTGTTTTTTTATTTTTTTCCATACAAATTCATGAAAGTAATTAATATATAATTTATATGGCATGATAGACAAAAGCACTGAAGACATACAAGAACCACCAGCTCTCCCTCACATCACTTATGTGCTTCGTCGGAACCCTACAAGCTATTGCTGTGACATTTGTGATGGAGCACAAGCCCTCTGTTTGGAGCATTGGCTGGGACATGAACCTCCTTGCTGCTGCCTATGCTGTAAGTACTCTTCTTTTCCCTATATACTTTTTTTGTCTTTGGATTATGTGTGGGAAATTATGGCTAAAGTTATGTTTCTTCTGCACTGTTTTTTGTTTCCTTCTTTTCCAATGTTTAGGGGATTGTGACTTCAAGCATCTCATACTATGTCCAAGGATTGGTGATAAAGAAAAAAGGTCCGGTTTTTGCCACTGCTTTTAGCCCTTTGATGATGATCATTGTAGCCATCATGGGCTCATTCATCTTGGCAGAAAAGATATACCTTGGAGGGTAATTAATTTTCCTTTTCTTTCACTTAATTTTTTTTTTGTTAATTATTATTATTATCATGCATGCAAGCATCTATATATCCCCTTTTATTCATTAGTAGTATCCAAACTGGCTTATCTAGGGAAGCATTTTGTAGTGGTCACTTTGTACTCATAAGTCCCGATAGAATCTCTCTTGAAGTTTAACAGTACATATTCTTTATTTTATTAATATTGAATTAGTATTAATTATCATCCTCTTTTTTTTTTTGGCTGGGGATAGATTAATGGTTTCCCTTAATTAATTTACTACTAATCAGCTTAATTAAATACTGTTGTATGGGTGCAGTATTGTTGGTGGAGTCCTGATAGTCATAGGCTTATACTCGGTCCTGTGGGGAAAGCACAAAGAGAAAATGGAAATGGACCCTGAGGAAATACCAGAACCTGTAAAAGGTGTTCAAGGAAATGGCAATCCAATAGTGATGATAGAAGACATAGAAGCTAATGAAGTTGAGTTGCAAAAAGCAGAAGCCAACAACAATTTCTCTGCAATGGCCATGAGCATGCCAATGGCCCTGCCAGTCGACCTTCCAATCAAAGAAAGCCAAGAGCCAAAAGCCTAATTATCAAGAGGAACTGATAAATGGGCGGGATTGGGATTATTTTTTGTCCTTTTGAATCCCCCATTTTGTTGTGATCTTTTTTTAAAGTTACATGAATATGGGGTTTTGTTGTGTATCTTTTTCTCCTTTTCTCTTTACTTTGTTATAAAGAAATGGTATTCTGATTAATGTTCTGAGGACAAGTACTGATCATGATCATATGGAAATGAGAGAACCCTAAAATCTCTTTTACAAAAAAGTTGGGCCACTGTGTCTCACTGATGATCATAACTTCTTTTTTGTACTCATGATTTACACGTACGTCGCAGAATTGCTCCCATCTGATGCAGATTCCACTAATTAAGGAAGGAATACTAGTGGCTGACATATTTTTACACATATATTTGTGGGGCTACCTACTTAAGGCCTTGTTTGGCTAGCTATATGTTCTCAGAATCTCAATTAATTGCAGCTGTATATATATATATATATATATATTTTTTTTTTTCTTGCATCTGATTCCACATGTGTGACAAAGAAAAAAGAAAGCATAGGATCTCTAGCTGCCCATGTTTTGATGCCATAGTGAGACACAATTTGGACACCATTAAAAAGTAGAATTGAAGATCTTTGATCTATCACCAATATTGCTTTAATTTCTTCTTCAATTTCCTAGCATTAGAGTACAAGGGTGTGCGTGTTTGCTGACGAGTAAATCACTATCACGTGTAGATTCCATTCTATGGAAATAGAATAGAGGGTTCTTGATCAGAATATGATACGTTAAGATACACATTAACTGGTGGAATGTGCCACTTGGGACCTATATATCGCTAATAAATGGTGTTAATTTGCCTCCCCATTGGCCATCATATGTACTTAGATTTTTTTAATATATACATATAAACTTTTCTTAATTTTGGAATAGTAAATATAAATTATTTCCTCTAATTTTGAGAAATGAATTAATTAATCTTTTATATTTAAAAAATTAATTATTTAGTTTTTTAACTAATATTGAACGCGTTTAATTTGATATTAATTTCTTTTAAAAAATATTTTTTTATCGATCTTTGCATAATATTTATTTAATTTTTTTTAAAAAAAAATAGAAAATAGCATGAAATGGACAAAAAGAACTACATAATTAGTTTTTGAAATAGAAAAGATTAATTAATTTGTTTATCAAAAATAAAAGTACTAATTCATAATTCACTCACTCTGGAGGCAGCTAATTACATTTGTATTGCTCGAAACGTTTTTTTATTTTATTTTTTTTCCATGATTCAGAATTAATTAAAAACCTTTAACAGCAAAAGTCTTCAACAATCAAGGAAGTCATTTATTCATATATGTAATTAGCCATCTTCACTGTGCTAGGGGAATTGTAAGGCACGCAGATATTTTTCTTTTTCTTGATAATTAATTACGATTTGAATCCAAAACGTCACCCCTCTCTAGTAATTAGAGAAGACACACCTTGATTAAACAGTACTAATTGCTGTACAAAATCTCTTTTACTCTAAATTTTCAGATTTTAATTAAGTCTCTTATGCGTTGTTAGTGAGTAATACAAAATTATTATTAAAATTTCATTCAACTATTTAATTTTTAGATTAAAATAATTCTTAACATGAGCTATCTGATAAATTAATTGATGGTTTATTTGCAAAATGAATAGAGAGGAGGGAGAGGGTGCTATACATAGTTACTCATTTGATGGTTTTTTTTTTTTTCAGATATTTTCATTTCATATTAGAAATATGATTAATTTTATTCAAAACGAGAGTGATAATGTTTAATACTTTTTAACATATATGATTTTAGAATTTGAATCTTATATATTAATAGAAAATTCTCATAAAGACCAGTTAATTTACTTACCATCGAGCTAATAATTTGTTGGTTAAGAGGTTTATTTTTTAACTCTCCTTGCAAATGTAAAGAGTGGTTTAGTGGACCCACCATTTAACTTTGTAAAATTTTTTCCTTCTTTTGATTTATCTCCTTCTGATTTTTTTTTTAATTCTCAATAAGAGATATTTTCGAGTAAATTTGCATGTCGATCAAAATTGATTTTTTTTTTTATCTAAAGTTTTATTGTTAGATTTATTTTTTTTTCAACGCTTTTTATCAAAAATTTGTACAGATTTTAGACAGCCGCATATAACATAGAATTTTTTTTTCACTAAATTAAGGAATCAATTCAAAAACTCAAAAGTTATTTGAGATTCATTAAATAGTTTGGTAACTGATTTGAGGTTTGCCACAAAATGGAATTCCATCAAAATCAATGAAGTGAGCTTGACAATCGCCTTTAAATATTTTTGGATACATATTATCATATACTATGTACTACTTTAAGTCAGTTTTGATTTCGAAAGAGATTGAATTAATATGCATGACATAAAGCTAGCTAGGCATCAATGAATAATATTTTTTAGGAAAAGAATTCTTCCATTTATATTCTTCATAAAAAGTTAATTCCTTAATCTAGAAGGTTAAGAACCTAATTATAATTAATTATATTTAGTTGATAGAATGTTCTCATGCAACTAACTTTAATTTCCTAAGTAAGAAGCTTTATACTGACTTGAAAGAGAAGTTTTTTATCGCATGATGGAATAGGTGTGCCCGTGAGTATTTCTTGAGCTCTACCGCCCAAGTTGTTGAGAATAATTCCTCCGACTTTTCATTTTTTTCCCAATTAAGTCCTAATTTTTTTTAATTTCTAACAATATTGTTTTATCCTAAAAAAAAATTGAATATATATATAATTATATAGTTTTCTTAACATTTTCATGAAAACATATATAGTCAATTTCTCTTCTTTTTTTCAAGGGTTTTGGAAATTTTTCTCTTGTATAACAAGGTAATTGGATCGTGAATTGTATAAATATTGGTAAATTAATTTTCAAGTAGAAGAGGTGTTTGTTACGCTATCGAGACACTCAAGTTTTTGAAATTAGAGAATTAGGATGTAATTAAAAAAAAAATTTTTGAGAACTTGATACATCAGCAACTTCTTTTTTTTTTCTTTTGTTTTTATATATATATATAAAAAAAAGCCCACTTGACTTGAGGTGTGACATAATTTAAAACTCAGTCACTGAATTATGAACATATCAAACTATTAGATACTTTTTTGCATTTTCCCCTATGATTCAATAGATAATCTCCTACATTTAAAGAAGCGAGAGAGGGTAAAATAATAATAATAATATCCGAGGAATTAAGATATGGTGGAAAAATCCGAGTCCTTATCTGTAAATGAAGAATTGAAGATAGGTATTAGCCTTACCTAAAACACATGTACATATCATGTAAGGATTAAGGAATGATCCATATTCTTACATGCTTGCTGGTTTATATATATATATATAAATAAATAATCATTGTATTCCATTTTGCACTTGTCATTCAATATTCCATATATGTAATGTCACGAATTGGCTGTTATATCATAGATTCTTGGCTGCGTATTCTAAAACAAGTCAACTTGTGATTTTATTCCTAATATGCTATATACGCATGAAGCTAGGTAGCTGTAGTTACCATATATATTTCACTCCCGAATGGAGAATTTTCGAACTTGATTCACAAGAAACCAAGTTTGATGACATTTACTTCCTCCTATAGGCTATATGGTCCTTTCCCAATATAAAAAACAAAATAGAGATCGAATCCCTAACTTTCTTTCGTGATGGCCAAGTAGGAAACACCATGACATGTATATTAGGTGGTGGTGGTGGTGGTCATTTTCAAGAAACAGATGGTTGTATAACCCATCAATATCATGAAATTGTGAAATAACAAAAAGAGCAACTCATTGCGGATAATGTAAACAGCATATAAACCCACTTGAAACAATGTAATCTACTCCCGAAATCACTTTGTGTCCAGTGTCTTAACATCAAGTGACAACGATTTTCCACATGATTCTGCATGTCCTCCCATATATCTATATATATATTTGTAGGACCACACATAAATGGAGATAATCAACTTTGCCCTTAAAAAGAAAGAAAGAAAGAAAGAAAGAAATAACAACTTTGCTAAGTACTAAACGTTTAAGAAATTAATGGTATTATTCATAAAATTAAAGAAGGGTGATTTGATGTTTTTAATTAATTTATTTTTGTTATAAAAATAGGTATACAAATAGATTGATCGTACATCTAATAGAAAACGTTATGTATTTTATATCCATTTGTATTTGGAGAGAATCTGATCAAATCTATGTCAGAATCAAAACAAAGAATACTTTCACGAATAAAGTTAATAAGATATAATTAAATATGTTGTTTTTTCATCAAGAAATTGGTGATAAAACTTCAATTTGAGACCTCTAGATTGAATGAGTCTTCTTCTTATTTATATGTTGTTTCGATGTTAAAAAGTTGCTAAATTACGATTTCGATTGCATATTCCTATTACCAACAAGGAAAAACAATAATCTTTTTAGTTTTATACATATATTGTAACAGAGCTTGCTCCATCAAGAATAAGTCTGCCTCTCTAGCTAGACCATGGAAGATTATTCACATTTGAATTAGAAAATATGAGAATTTTTTTCTTATAATATAGGATGAGTTTTATAATGATCTAATTATGGCTAAGAAAATAACAAATTAACACATGCTATCAGAGTCATCTATATATCTCATTTGCTTGTTAGTTCCAAGCAGATGATTTGTTGGATAGAGAAAGTGACCTTTAACTAATCTTGCTTGCTTGTACAAAACCGTTCAAGATGATTTTTAATTCAAAGAAATGTTTCTTGTGTTGCTGGCATATAAAACTTTGTCGTGTCTTCCTGTATTTTTCCACTATAATATTTTTGCTTATTTATAACTATCAATTATGGAATCTCTTTGCTCTAAAATAATAAGATCTGATTATAAAGTGAATGTTCCTCGAATTTATTGGCCATATTTTACACATAATGGAGAGAAGAAAGCGAATCTGAAAGGAACCCAATTTTGATAATGCTGCAAAATCTACTTCCATTATCCATCTAGCAAATGATGTCGTGTATGAGGGAACTTATGCCTTCTCATGTAGGCAATTCTGTGAGGATTCTCAGCCTAAGATTCACAAACATTCCATCGTTACAATCCTTATTTATTCATTATTCTTTGACAAAAGCAAAGCCAAGCAAGGTTCCTTGCACATTACCATTTTAACTCGGTAGTTTCATAGACGCAACACATGATAAAGAATTGGTTTCCATTGGTTGCTTATTGTGTAGGATGCCAATAATATGCTTTTAACACTGAAATGGGAATGTGAGTATCGAATGGTAGATTGCAATCATGGATCTGACGAAGCACACTAACTCAATTTCTCTCTACATTTTTTGTTTCTTTTCTCTTTTGACAACATAAGCACAAAAGAGAATCGAAACTCAGAAACTTGTGACAAGGACTTGTTGATCTCTCACCTCTATTTGATTTGAAATGCCCAAAACACTCACATAGTTTCCTTTCATTTTGACCACAATTTTTCTTTGTTGGATAGTCAAGACTTTTGCACCCTACACAGCTTCTTCATTCTTTGGCAATGACACTTCCCTTAATTGGAGTGTCTGGCAAACTTTGAGCTACACGATTAAAGTAATCCTTCTAATTAAAATACAAAATCTCCTCTTACTTTTATTTAAGAGTTTGAACATGAAAGATTATTTGCTACTTTAAATTGCAACTCGATTTTAATGTAAGTCAGAAGTATTTGCTTCGAAAAAGATTAAAAATAACCACAAGTTCAAACTATAGATCTCAGAAATGTAGGACTGGGTCGCTGAGTTTCAAAATTGTGCAAGAAAATTACTCTTAATTCAGGCTAATCCATGTACGCTTTTGTTATTATATGGACAATCTAACGCCTTTCCTCTCATTAAAAAAAGGGACCACTATTAGAAAAAATGAGGATTGCGTCGAGCATCCTAACTGAATGGAATCCTTTACAGCAGGTCATATATAAGCATGTGCACAGACTAGCAGCCTCCAGTGACCGAATCATCCTTTGGAAGGGCAACATAGTTTATCGGTGTTACATTATGAGCCTTGCTCTCTCTACGTTCCTTTCCAGCTGAGATTGCTTGACGGCCAAAAGGAGTGCCCCCACGGCGAGCAGTTGGTGTTCCAACCATGTTGTTGGCACTGGTGCTCAGACCCAAGGGCTTCTTTACCGCTGACCTTGAACCGTAAAGTGCTTCTTGTTCAGTAGCAAACTGTTCTTGCAAACGTTTCAGCTCCTGCAAAATAAACCGCAGCGAAAAAAAAAAAAAAAAAAAAACGCACGTCAACTTTTACCTAACTCTTTCCTTTGTAAAGCCAAAAGCCCTTGATTAAATTAACAGCATGGATGACTAATTAAGCAGTTCGTGCATAAGAAAATTGCAGAGACTGGGCTCTATCCTTTTGAACAAAATATTCAACTAGCATAATCCATTATTCATGTGTGGACCAAGCAATATATGCTTTCCGCGTTTGCCACACATCATTGTAACTGTGATGAATGGCTAAAGATGGAGCATCTGAATTTTCAATGTAAAAAGTCTGGGTGTTTATAAGTTTCAAGTATCGCAGATCCAAAAACAATAGTTGAACATCCTGGTCCAAGTGCTTTTCACTGCTTTATCCATCGAATTTACTGGTTGAGCCCAACATCATGGGCAAAGCAAGAGTAGAAAATATGGGCTCGAATGAAGAGTGAAGCAAGAGTAGAAAATATAGCATACCCGAGATCGACGCTTCTGCCCTTCCCTTTCCTGCCTTAGCACAGTATATTCCTCTAAGGTATGTACGAGGGGAGCCTGGATTTTGAAAATGACTTGAGAGGATGTAAAATTGTGCTCAAGTAATTTATTACTAAACCAAACAGCAAAAAGAAGCTCGTGAGTCACCTTGTCATATAAGAAAGGAATTTTTCTCTCCAATTCCCAGGCTTTAACTTTAGAAGTCAAAATTTCGACCATAGCTAGACAGCAAAAATATTAAAATTTATAAGTTCCAGCTCAATGCTCGAAACCTGACAATCTATTTATCACAATAAAGCATCATGCAGCAAAAACAAACATGGTTTTCAACTCCGCATTCTACAAACCCAGAACCTATGGTTCATCATTTTTATCAAAAAAAGAAAAAAGTTTGACATTTTATTTTATTGTATTTCATGATCGAATAGCTGTTTTGTATGCTCAAGCTTGTCAATTGCCATAAGTAACACGATACTAATAATCAAACTTATGGCATTAACATGGTAGCAATAAGTGATCTGTTCACCTTCCCCCAATCCAAATCTCACTCCATGACCTATCTGCACACATTTCTCAGGGTTTGTATTTATAACAATTGCCATTTGCCAGACAAATTGATGGGGAATGTTGGCAGCAGCCCCCAAAAGCCTTTAGAAGACGTTCTAGGAATAATTCCAATGCTCAAGCACTGATTTGGCACATGGAAAATGATGGAAAACTTATTAGGGAACTTGAGTAATTGATAAGGGTATTTTAGCAATTTAGATCTGCTTCAGTTCTAAATAGAAATAGCTATGTTGGAGGTTTAAGAATCCTTGCCTTATTAGAATTTGGATTTTGACTCTACAAATACAGCATGTAATCTTTCAATATTTTAAATGCAATAATATCAAACAAATTCCAGCAATTTGCTTTGATTGTGTGACTCAATCCACCTCTTAGATATGACTCCTCGAAATCTACTGACATAGTAAACACCTCTAAACAGTTCAAAAATCCGATCTCAAACAGCCCCTAAGCTTTCCTGCATCACAAATTTTACGTGTAGAAAAAAACACTTACCTGTACTCTGCCTATACAAAGAAAATAAAGTATAGAAAAAGCAAGTTACTACATGGGATGAAAAGTTCACTTCAGAAACATGCTTTGGAACAATAACAATTTAGAAGCTGTTGGCATCTACATGCTTAAAAGTTAAAACACAGCTTTTAACTTTCCTGTACCAGAAATTATATTTCTTCCCAAAGTTCAGGCTCCATTTCATTTACAAGCATAGAAAAACTAGAGAAGTTGAAACTGCGTCTTTTTTAAACACATGTTGAAACAGCACTATAATCATTTCTATGAACTTCTAAACGAGTCTTATCCTTTTCACATAATTTCCATTGTATTAAATAAACTCACATGGTATTTTGCTGGCCAGAATCCGTGCTTTCTCAGCACGTTTCAGATTTTTGTGTGCTCCTCTTCCCGCACTATACCGATTATCATCCTGGCAATATAAGAAAAATTGTAAACATTAGCAGCAGCAACCATTTCAAAAAAAAAAAAGTTTTCCACTAAAAGAGAGCAAAATTCAGTGATTTCCAACTAGTAGGACAAGCATTAGTTCTCAATTCCTTTGGAACTATGCCAGACGGCCAAATTGACTTGGTGTGATAAGTTAAATACCAGATTCGGAGCATGGAGAAAAGGGCAAAAGATTACTGTTGGAAAAACTTATGAAAGTTGCCCCATTGCATCTTGATAATGGGAAGAAAGGAAAAGAAAAACGACTGGGTTTTTGTATTCTCCCATTCAAAAGGAAGCATTTCTGCAATCCAGGAATTATTACAATTATAGGCCTATGATACCATCCACAAAGAGAATTAAAGTTGCTTGTATGATTTGAACTCCTAAAGTATATTTCATGAAACTTAACATAGAATAGGCAACACTATTGGGCAAAACAAAGAACCACGTTTAGATACCAGATATAATATAATGAGTGACTAATAATATTAGTGTACTGAAGTAAAATGATAAATGAAAACCTCACTCACGACAGAAGTATCTTTCAAGATGAAGTTGAGAGTTATTAATGTTAGGGAGGTATCAGAATTTCAGTAGCTTGCCATCAGAGAGAAGGTATCAGAAAAGCCACGTACAATGTCAACATAAGCAACAGGATACAGAAGCAGGACATGTATAGCTATTATGTATATAATTTAGTGCTTTTGATAACTAAATACTGAGAAACATGTCCCCTCCATTTATGTAGAAGGGACTCCCCCACTGTCAAACTCCAAATCCAGATGCCACCCATGACAAACAGTACGCTCTTATAAAACTCCTCAAGAATTGAAAATGTAAGGGACACCTGCCTTGGAAATCTTCCCTCGCCCCTAGCTTGGAAGTTCTATGACTACAAGTTGTATAGATTATGGCAAACGAAGAGCTCGTGCTCTGAGCAAAGTGATTCTTTCAGTCATGTGTTTATAGAGAATGGGCGACCAATAGAGTTCATATCCAACATTATAAACATAATATCCCATTCAAAAGAGGAGTTTCAAACATGATATGATCATTGAAACTGATCGTCTCAATTGTAACTGATTTGGTTCCTGCTACTTGACATAGAAAAACTGATCACCTCTATGGAGTATAAATGGTCTCTTACAGGAGGTTATATAGTTGTTAAGTGAAGCATCGTGTAAAGTCTTGTAAGTTTGAAGTATTCAACAATTATATGTGTCATAGAATTCCAATTCCAAAATAGTATTGTACAATTCTACACGAAATAATTGCTGTACAAAAGAACAAAAATGAAGAAAATTAGTCAGGAAAAAGGCATGACACTTGTGCATGTTTTTCCAACAATGGAGAAAATATCCACATGTATAGTCGTTCCCAGTTGGCAACAAGACAAGCTCAATTAATTTACATGGAGGTAACAAGTCTAAACTCTGAAACCATAAATAAAATAAAACGTCACACGACTCAATGTAATGTGTGACTTTTTGCTACTATGTTGGCCTGTAAAATGACAACAAAATAAATGATCTCGTATCGCCAATCAAACCATTAAAATTAATTTCTTATAGTGATTACCTTTTCATATTCATCAAGCCACTGTTCTTCTTCAGATGCAAATTTCCATTTCTCGACCCTGTCCAAGATATCCTTCCGACTAAGAGCTTGCTCTTTGGCTTTTGTGATTTGATCATCCATGCTCAAAAGCAGATCAGACATATCAACATTACCTATGATAACAAAATTCAAATTATATGAGGATTAACAAATCAAGTAGATAAAGTAAACTGAGTCATGCAAAATTACACAACAAAAAGCAACCACACACTCAATGTAAGAGAAAAGGGCACATTTATCTAAACAAATTACAGATATGCCATCTTGATGATCATGAATCCAGTCATTCTGTTGAAGTTTGTAGTCTTAAATTTAATTAAAACAAATTTATGCGGATAATACATACAATACAGAATCAAGAAATAACTTCAAACCCAATCTACCAACTGTAAAAGAATAAATAAAACTTCTGAAAATTTTAGTACCAAGAGACTCTGAAAAAGAACATACCAAATAATATTCTTGAAAAAACACACAATTAGGCACGCAAACAACACACAATGCATTAAAATATGCATATGTAAATGGTGACAGAAACAGTGAGAACTGAGAAAAACAAAGGGTATGTTATTTGCTAGGGGAAAAAAGAAGTCAAGGTTTATAGCAAAAGGTAAACACAAGTTTTCAAAAAACGCTACCAAAATAACCAGACCAATTGAAGGTCTAACTAAAAAGGCTAACATGTAAACCCAACCCCGTGAGTGATCATGCATGTTAGTGATATGAAAACAAGAGCTGTTTTGCTTGAAACCAGATTCTATGAGGCTGATGAGAATCTGCCTAGCTGCATCACTATCTACATCCATATGAACTCCTCTGTAGATTTCCTCCAGCTCATTTTGCCTCTTAAACACCAACTCCTTCATCTTGCTGGATTTGAGAACATTTAATCTCTCAACTTCAACTTCCGTCTGACAATGATATAATTAAAACTTAATATTTTTTTTTCAAAAAGAAATGGACCAACCTTAAATGAAATATAGAATTTCTGAATTGAAATATAGAATTGCTGAATTTAGGCAGTAAAGGCAAGAAAAGAAAGCAACCTGCTCAATGACATCAACAGCAAGGCACCCTCGTCTTGACACATCATCCACTGAGGATGAGATTAAGGAAGTGACATGGTCCAATTTTCTCTCCTCAACAGGGGTGTCCATGAGGTCCCATAGCTCTATCAGTTTGCGTCCCAGACCTTGAAGCTAAAATAAGACAATGCCCATGAAAGTAAAAAGCACGAAACATTACATAAGCGGGGAAAAAGGAGAATGTTTAGTCAAATGTCCAACAAGGCCAGCAACATGCTTGAAGGCGCTAAATCTGTCTAGTTTATCAGGAGAATCAGCACTAATAAAGAAGTTAAAAAACATTCACAAAATTTTGAAGCAAACCAAATAATTACTTAATGAAGAAGCTCCAATTTTCAAATTCTGCAAACAAATATGTCAAAGAATCCACTAAAGGGTACATTGTTTTTTGTGCAAAAGAAATACTCTCCTACCACAACTTTTCAGACTTCTAGGATGTTGATGCTTTGAACATCAGCACAATACCAATTGCTATTTGGGTAATTGGATTGGAATAAACTAGTAAAGGAGACCCACTAATTTCAAAGCCAAGGGCTATTAGACCATAGGCATTGCACCGATACTAAAAGCATCAGCATTGTAGCCACCCCTGCAAACTCATATCTGCAATTTCTTGAACTTAGAGCCCTTTAACCAGTCCATTATCAAGTTTTGGAATCAATCTCCAAACTACATGAGTTTAGAAGATTTACAAGGTACATATTTATGCATATCACAATACAGACAAAAAGAGGTGTGATCATAAATCCAGCTACATAGGTTATAGGCACTTCATCTACGTTTTTAGCATTTTAAGTAACATCTTTTCTACTTTCAAGCTATCGAATCAACAACTAGAATTAGAAAAGGAAGAACAGCAGAACCTTCAGGTAAACTTTTCAGTTCAGCAGGTGCATCATCATATCACGTTACTGAAAGCAATTTGGGTGGACCTAACAACTTGATGCAAGTCTTATAAGTAGTTTTCTCACATCAATAGACCCCAGCATGACTGTACAAAGCCTAATACAACTTCAAATTAATACAAACAAACGAGCAAAAACAAATAAATATAAAACAACCACCACCACTGCCTACAGCAGTGAAGAATAGCAAAATGATAACAACAACAAGACTTGTTTCTGCAGGTTTGCAATTAAAGATCACAAGTAGAATTGGAATTTTACTCTTATGTCACCTTTTCTAGCCTTTGTTGCTTCTCCTGCTTCAGTGAATGTATCATGCTTGTTAATCTAGCAAGTGTTTCATTGCTAATGCTCTTTGATTGAGCCTTTGATGGATCACCAAAGCTGGGATGAACATCATTGACAGTCTTAAAGAAATCGATTGACATCACCACTGACAAATCGTGAATGGTTTTAACACTGCTGTTGACCTTTTGTAGCCGCAAACTCTGAAGTTAAGCAAGAGGAAGTATGAAACACAAGCCAGATGAAAACTCTATTACACATATTGCAGAAGTGTCTTATGAACCTTTTCATTCTGAAGTTCCTTAAGGTGTGACTTTAGTTCTCCCAATCTCTTCACCGTCAGATCTTGCTCATTGATTTCCGGGTCAGCAGAATTGATAGACTGATCATTGCCTGCTATCTCTGCACAAATTTGAGCTATCTGCGACTCTGTCTCATAAAAGATTTTACTTCTTTCTTGTTTCTTCAACCTCAATTCCTCCAAAACAGGGTGTACAGCAGATATTTGCTGCTTTAGTGGGCCTCTTCCCTTCTCAAAACAGGAAGAAACAAAAAAGATAATAAATAAATAAATAAATAACCCAATCAAAACATAAGATGAAGAGAAGAGTGCACAAATTAACCCCGTATGTAGAAAGATTGGACAGAGCGAATGCATGGGACAGTAAGCATCAATTGAACACATTTATTTATTAAATTAAAAAAAAAAAACTAGAATGACTGTTTGTTAGCAGGTATTCCATAAGCACTTTTACCTTTAGCACAGATTTTCTTTTGTTTTACCCAATTTAGTCCAATAACTCTTAAAGAAGAAAAGCATTTTTTTTCTCTCAAGTAAAATACACAGCAACGATGACTCCATGCTAGAATTCACAAACCCGTGAAAATGAGGAGGCACTTTCCCCAAGCGCAGAAATAATGTTTGCAATTTCAGCTTCACCATCAGCCAACAATTGATGCAAATTAGCTTTAGACTTCCTGGTGTTTTCAACCTTCCTGCGGTAAATATCAAGGCATTCTTGCTCAAGCTGTAGAAGTATCTTGTCCCTTTCGCCATCACTCTCCCCAATTTCATCCCACATTATCTGGATACCAGCATAAATACGTTAAATAAAAAAACAAACCAATAAATCTCAAAAGTTGGAAAAAAAAAAGGATCAATATGCAATCTTTAACTCTTCTTTTCACAAAAAATAGGGCTCAATCTCTTCCATTTCACTCAACTAAAACTCCATTACTTGAATTCCACACTACCAAACACTAATTAAAATCAGTAAAATAAATAAATGAAGAAGAAAAACACTAAAACAAACATCTAAAATCAGTGATTCCGTAAAATAGAAACCACTTGCTTAAAAATAGTCCGCTACTAATAAGAATAAAGCAGAAATCAAAATAAGCAAAATAAATCAAAACACAGAAATCATGAACCTGCAATTCGTGAAGGAGAGAAGCGCAAGTGGTGCGAGAAGGAGGGACAGTAGAAGGAGGAGGGGGTATAGTTGTCATTTTCGAAAAAAGAGCAGTGCGATTTTTTCGAAAAACTCTAAACCCTAGAAACTGATAGAGAGAGAGAGGGAGAGAGCGTTTCAGGTGTTTGTGTTGTTGTTGCTGCCTTTTATGAGGGTTGATTTTGTTTGCTGCAGCGTTACATTTGGATTTTGGAAATAGTGTGTGGAGAGAGAGGGAATCCCCAGGAATTTATTGGTTTTGATCCCCAGGAATTTATTGGTTTGGCTAGTAAGAGGGAGAATTCCATTTTGAAAAGTAGGATACGGATCTTTTTCGGATTTCGTTTCGCGCCCAAAATGTATTTTGTTTTCTTTCTTTTTTTTTTTTTTTTCCAGTGATATTTGTTTTTATATTAGATTAAAAAACAGAATGAAAAAGGAAATTGTAGTTTCCTTTTTAGTATGAGAGTTTTCATTATTTTATTTTATTTCATACTAGATTTTTTGCTTATGCTAAGTTTCGAGTAGGATAAAATATATAAAATCATTTAGAAAAATTATGTTAATTTTATAGTTTCTTTTATGGTGTAAAAGTATAAAAATATATGAAATCAAAGACGAAAAAAATATTTTAAATTTTTTTCACATAATTTGAAATTCAATGGATGAGAATTTTTAAAAAATAATAAATTTTAAATAATAAAAATAATCAATAAAAACACTAAAACAAATTGGAATCAAACCACAACACAATTAAAATTTGAAATTAAAACAAATATATTGTATAAAAAAATTGAGGAATATATAATTTTAAATTAATTGAATGAGAAAAGAATGAATAATATTAAAATAAACGAAAACTATCATTAAATGTAATTTTAAATTAATTATATGAGAAGTTAAAAAAATGACAAATTAAAGATATAGATTTTAAATAATAAAAATAATTAAAACAAATGGGTTAAATCACAATACAATTAAAGTTTAAATTTTTAAAAAACATTGTATAGAAAATATATATATATAAAGAAAAAAAACACACACACACACACATAATTTATTGTAGAAATTATAATAATGTATTTTAAAAATAAAACACTAACGTTCTAAAATTTTAATTCAAAATTCATATATTAAAAAACTAAATTTATTAACAAATAAAATCATATAAAAAAATTAATTTAATGTGAATTTTAATAAGAAATAATTAATTAAAAAATAAATTTAAACAATAAAATTAATATAATTAGATATACTCTCTCTCTCTCTCTCTCTCTCTCTCTCTCTCTCTCTCTCTCTCTCTCTCTCTCTCTATATATATATATATATATATATATATATATATATATATATATATATAATTTAAACTCATTTAAAAAGTGAAAAAATAATAATTTTGTGTGTGTGTGTGTGTGTGTGTGTGTTGGGGAGGGAGGGGGAGCCGGTTGACTTGTAATCGGGTTGCACATAATATATTAAAAAAAAAAGGGTAAAAAGTGAGGGAGGCCGGGCGTTGGCCTCTCGCAGTCCGCGCGCTAGGCATTGCCTCGCCAAAAAAAAAAATCCCGAAACTTACGACTAACCCGAGGTCGTCGAAAGTTCATCAAAAAATCAAGGGTCAACTTTCGGATTGTGACTCCCCCAACTTTCTTGCCAATTACCTACAAGGCGTGATCGGGTGCACCGCAGCTTAGACGATGGATTCCCGCTAACAGTGCGGTGCACACAGCTAGACCGTTAATAACCCTTTTATCCGAGTAGGTTACAAAACCTATCCAATTTCCATTCGATTCGGCTACCAAACCTCATCGTTTTTTACTCAATGGTTTTTGTCAATTTAATCCATTTTCATATGCATATGATGCACGTGATGTATCATGAACTACATTTCACCAAGTCATGGGTACTAAACTCGTCGATTTCGTACCATTGAGTTCACATAAGGAATTCAAGACCCGTCTAATAGAGTTAATCTATTTCATGTATCATGAACCACATTCCATATCTCATAAGCACCAAACTATCTATATCCATACCATTTTAAAAATTCAATCCACACTTAGGTCTTCAACGATATTTTCATGGTATGATCTAACTTGATCATTTTAGTACCAAGGGCCACGGAGTGTTCTTAAGATATCCAAGTCCATTTATTTTTATCCAAACTCATTTTGTTTTAGTCCAAGCCCATTTATTTTAATCCAAACCCAAGTTCATTTATTTAAATTTAATTCCATTTTATTTTAATCCAAGACCAATCTATTTTAGTCCAAGCCCATTTATTTTTAATATAAGCTCAAGTCCATTTGTTTTAATCCAATTCCATTTTGTTTTAGTCCAAGCCCATTTTTAGTTTAACTCAAGTCCATTGATTGTAATCCAAACCTCTTTTTATTTTAGTCTAAGCCCACTTTGTTTTAGACCAAGTCCATGTGTTTTATTCCAAGTCCACTTTATTTTAAATCCAAGCTCAATCATGCATATCTTTCAAACTCATATGGTTATATTAGGATGGCTTAGGTGTCTAACTAAATACTTAGGCTAACTAAAAATCTTAACTAATCAAGTTTAAGTACCCAAACTCATTTCTTTCCATTAAATTTCGGAAATCCCTCTCCCTAAACTCAAAATTTCCAACAGTGGTATATCCAAATAATTTGTACTAATTCAACCATAAATCTTTATATATAGATCTAAAAATTATGAAATTTTACAGAGCGCTAGTAGACACATAGGTGAAAAACTTTTGTTCTTTGAGTTTTTCCCAAAAATTACTCTAAGATCCCTAAATAAATAACACAAATTTTTGAACTAAAAATTTTCAAGCATGTGGTACATCCAAATGATCTGTACTAAATCTGCCATAACTCTTTATATATAGATCTAAAAATCATAAAATTTCATAGAGAGCTAGTAGACACATAGATGAACAACTTTTGTTCTTTGAGTTTTACCCAAAAATCATTCTAAGATCCCTAAATAGATCACACGAGGTTTGGAATTTTCCACTCCTAAAATTAAAAAATTTTCTTTCAAAATTTTTCTTTTAAAACACGTTTCTCATCACATATAGTTATCACCAAACCAACCCATCACACATGTATAACCATCCATCATCATACATACATGACATATTTACACATTCTAATCTAAAGTTTATCATGAAATATACATCTAACATTCAAAGTAAATCCATTATCAAAACATCATAAATCCATCACCAAACATCAATTTTTAACATCAACACAACCTATCATAACCACATATTCCATGGCTTAAAACAAAAACCCATAAATCAAACATGTAAAAGAGAACTTAAAGCATAAATAAAACTAAAATGAAACCAAAAGAAACCTACTTACAATGATGAGTGTTTGGTTAAGATTTCTTAGTCCTTTTCTTCTCTTTCTCCTTCCTTTGTTTCCTTTGATTTTCTCCTTTCTTTCTTCCCTTTATTTCTCTCCTTTCTTTTCCTCAAACTCACATTTTTTTCTCCTCTTTTTGAAGGGCACAATTTTTTTTGGCTAGAAAGAATGGCAAGGTTTCATCTTTTCATCCAATTTTAATACTACACTTTTCCTTTTCATTTCTTTTATGTTTAATACGCCAAGTGTGCAATTTTTATAGCAAGAGAGGTCAATTGATGGAGATATAAAGAGAGGCAAGTTGGAGTGTTTGACCTTCCAAAATTAAGTGAGAAATACAATAGAAGTATGGTGGAAGATTTCATGTTAAGTCACTAATTAAAGAGAGAAACTAAAATGTAATTAAATTAACTAACTTCTTAACCTTATTTGGTCCATAAAATTCGACCATGACTCTTAAGTGTGACATATTTTACACTCGCATGGTCATTTTAAATATAAATTATGAAAAAATAAACAATGGTTAATTAAAGAAGTATTTATATGAACAATTCCATAAACCCTAAATATTTTCACACCATAAATATAAAAGAAATGACACATAATCATGGGTATTTCAAGAGATATTTGAAGTCGGGAATTAAATTTCGGTATGCCAAAATAATTTTTTTTAATTTTATTATTATTTTTTTTACCTAAGCATCTTAAACTCACCAAACACAAACATGATACAAAAATCATAATTGCGACTTAGTAGATATAGATAAAATTATTTTTGTACGTATAGCTACGTTAAGCAAGTTCACGGGAGTTACACGGATCCCTAGAAATTGAATTCCGGCATTATTTTTTTTTAAACACCTTTAAACAATCGAAATAAAATCAATAAACACATCTAAAACCTTAAAAATCATTTTAATATACACAAAAACAAAACAAAAAAATACAAAATCAAATCGAATTTTTTTTCTTTTTTTAGCTCCGATCTATCTCATCTAATTGTTTAATGACTTAAAACCACCATGGACAAACTCATCTCTCAAGGATAAAAAAATCTAGTGGATTTTCGTGAATCAAAGTGGCCTAAATGAGCTTGGCCGGCTATCTCTCTCTCTCGCTTCCTCTCATCCTTCTTTCTCCACCCGGGGATCAAAATAAAAGAGCAAATGAACATGTAGATCACAATATGAGTTCGAAAATATGAAGGATCAAAGTGTAAAAAAATTTATGAATAGGAAAAATAACGATGAATTATGAGATGATGAATAGTGAAATATGAGTATGTGTACGATATTTTAAATAATGTAACTACAATAATCGAACATTTTACTTTAGTTTATTAGTTAACTAGAAAAGTTGTTGGTCGTGCCGATCGTTTGTTTTTGGCATGGCCATAAGTGAAAATAGCCGGAATATTATGTTACGCATTACTCCGAATTTATTGGCTGGAAAACGAGGAGGGCATACTTCAAACAAGTGTGTGCTAGTTTTGAACCCGTTATAGATTTTATACTTCGACATTTTTGCTCTTCCTTTTTTTTTTAATTATTATCATGGTTAAGTGCTTATTTGCTATTATTATATTTTCCAAACATATTAAAAAAAAGTGTTTGGTTAAGGTTTGTTTTACCTTAAATGTAAAATAAATTATATTTTTAAAGAAAATTGTTAAATCAAACCACAATAGTTTGCTTTGAGCTAAAAATTAAGTAGTTTATTATTTTTCTTTATAACCTCAATAGTTGGTTTTTTGGGCTGATTTTTTTTTCCCAGTTTGATAGTTTATATTATATTGTTGGTCAATTAAAATATAAAAAAATTAAAATAAAAGAAAATTTTTCATATAATTCTAATAAAAAAATTGTATTTCATTTATCCTTCTTTATGTTCACATGAATTTTGTAATTAAAAAACATGATTCTTATTGTTTAAAATTGATATTCTCAATTTATTGTTTTTTTTTTTTTATGAAAACTCCCATTAAATTAATTTTTTATTTTTTACATAATTTTATTTTTTAAAAAATATGATTTATTTTTCTCTATGTACAGATTTTCGAATGAGTTTTTTTCTAATAAATAATCAATTAAAAATTCATTCTAAAATATGAAAACATAATGTATATATTTCATGATGATTAGTCCGTATGAAAAACCAAATAAAATAACAATTGTTTGTCATAATTTTCGCATCCAATTCAAAAAATAAAATAAAATATAAAAAAAGTAAAAGCCAAAAAAGAAAAAAAGGCAAGCATGTGTGCTTGGTCTATCTAGGGATAAAAACAAAAAAAAAAATTAGTTTTCATAATTTTCACATACAATTCAATAACAATAAAAATTAAAATAAATTGCAAGAGATAAAAAAAAAAAAAAAGGCAAGCATGTGAGCTTGGTCCATCTAGGAATCAAAAGTATCTTTTGATAACATGAAATATTAAAATGAAACACAATGTTAAATTTACTTATAAATGCTTTAAAAAAATCAAAAATTATGAAAATATCACTCGCACAATGAAGAGAAATAATGCATGTGAATCTTGATAAATAGTATAAATGAGTGTGTGTGAATAGTATTTCAAACAATATCGGTGAATAATAAATTATTATTTTACTTTAGTTTCTTTATAATATTTTATTCAAAAAGTAATTTTTTTACAGAGAAAGTTGTTAATTGTCACGTAGTATGAGTTTTTTATTCATACTTTATTTTTTTATTTTTTAAAAAATAAAAGTCAGCTTGTTAAATGGTTGTAATAAAATGTTATAATATGTATTGAAACTCTAGATATGAATTTGTATACTATCAAATTTCAGATATAATCCTTTTTTTTTAAATTAAGCATTTGCATCTTGTTTCCATTTTTTAAAATAAATCAAAATTCATTGACATATATAAGGGAAAACCAAGGCAAATAAAGAGAGAGCAAAAATAATGAAAAATTGTTTTTTTTTTTGTTTTTTTTTTCATGTAATCAAGCAATAATGAAATATATATGATATGTTTCAAATTATTTGTTAGAGATTTTTTTTAATTTTTTATTTATGTTTGTCGCTTATATTTCACACTCTCAATGCATTTAGTACAATCACAATGTATAAAAAAAAAATTAAATCATCGATTTTATTAAAAATTAAGTATGCATCTACACACATAACATCAACTATTTATAATTTTTTCTAATATTACAAACTAATTTTTTTGAAATAAAATTATTAAAATAATTTTTTGAAAGAATTTTCAAACGATTCAAATACAAGTTTTTATGCTAATATTATTGATTACTTTATAAATAAAAATATATAAAATAAATGCATATGCTTTTAAAAAATAATCTTCTCATTAACATTAGATAATTTTTTTTTAAATTTTTATATGAGGTCATACATTAATTATATCTTCATTTTTTGATACAATCTTATGAAAAATATATCTTTAAAGTTTTTTTTTTCAATTATAGATTAATATTTTAGTTTAAATTATCACAAATTTTTATTTAAAAATCAATGCAAAAAGAAAAATAATTTTTTTAAGTAAAAAATTTATAAAATAAAAAAATAATTAAATACAAAATTTTAGTTATAAAATTTTAAAATAATTTCTTTTTGTCGGACAAAGCATAACACGGACAAGCCTTTCTATTCTTTCATAACGTCTAAACACACGAAAAATTTCAAAAAATAAGTGCTACCTATCTTTTACCTAATATGTTATTTGGTAATCGGGAATAAAATGATGAGAATGAGAATTCGGGAATCGGAATGAAAATTAAGGAATCGGAACGAAATTTGTATTTTCATACTGTGTTTAGAAAACCAAAGAGAAATCATAATACAATTTAAATTTTTTAATATCTGATTTTTTTATAAAAATAAAAACAATGATTAAAAAAATAATTTATCAAACTATATTAGTTATAAAAATAATAAAGATGATAGTGGTAGTGGTAGTGATTATAACAATGGTGGTGACGACGACAACGGTAATAATGGTGGTTGCATTGATAATGATTGCGATGGTGATTGTGATAAAAATAGTTAATAAATAATAAATAAATAAATAAAATACGTTATTATTTTAAAAAAATCCATTCTCATTTTTTATTTTTATTCTCACATCTTATATGAAAATAAAGTTATATGTAAATTTTTATTTTCATTCATATTCTTTATTTTCATTTTTTTTTAACTAAATATCTATAATATGAAAATAACACTTTCATTTCCTACTCTCATCGTTCTGAATACTAAACAACAACTATGTTTACTCCCATCTTTCTATTAAGAGATTTTTTTAAAAAAAACAAGTAACTGAAGTTAATCAAACTCAAGTACACTTGCCTTTACTCTGAAAAATTGAAGTTCCCCAACCGGAAGTTACGTTTTCAAACATCGAGATAAGGACTCGCCCGCCATTGAACAGTTCTGTGACAGCTACTGGACCCAGAAACACACACGTGTCCTCTATGTAACCGCAGACTTAAGGGGAAAAAAATCAATAAATCCAAAAATAATACAGACAGCGACGCAAAGAAAACAGCAATAATTACAATTAGGTGCACTTGAAAGTAAGGCAGTCACGTTCAGAATCCATTAAAAAAGAAAAGTCAAAGAAACGCTCTCATCTCAAGCTGTCTCTAACCTTCTCTTTTTCTCGATGAGAATATGAATTCAATTTTGAACTCATTGAATGATTTCATTTCCTCGAAATCGATGAGGGAGTATGCGAAGAAGGAATGGAATGCGATTCTATGGGTTGCGTTGATTACGATCACTGTTCTTTTGCTTGAAAAGGTTTTCAAGCTGTTTAGATTATGGTCTAAAGCTAGGAAGATACCTGGACCGCCTTGTAACTTCTTTTTTGGCCATGGAAACCTCAGTTCTCGTGAGAATTTCATCGGTGAGTGAGTTATTGGTTGATTGATTGATTTTGGTTTTTTGGTTTCTGTTTGGTTGTTGAGAAAGTGAAGGAAAAATTAAATTAGGTTTTGCATTTTCTTTTTCTGTTTAAATTTGAATTAGTGAGTTGTTACCTGTTACTAATTAGGTTGACTAGAGTTTGATGTAGTGTTTTAGTTTCTGTTTGGTTATCACACATGAAATAGATATATAATTGATTAAAAACATATAAAATTGCGAAATAGCCATCCACTACAAGAATTAAGTTTTTTAGATGGTAATCTAATGTCATGTATCTACCTTAATATGGTATTATAGTCTAAAAGAGGTCGAACGTTCCAATAAAGATCATGGAACTCACCAAGGGTGAGTGCTAGAGATTTTTAACATATATAGTTGACAAAATGCTATCTACCCAAGGCTTTAAGTCTAGTTACTTGTTAGCAATGTCTAGTCTCAGTTCTATCATGCTTTCTTTGAGTGAAGTTTGAGATTGTTGGTTTTTTTGAGTTATGGTACCTTGCAAACTTGAAGAATGATAATGATTTTTGCTTATGTTTTTGGCTGTTAGATCTTTTATCGGAATCTCATGATAAGTATGGATCAGTTTTCAAGTTGTGGTTGGGGCCAACTCAGCTTCTGGTTTCTATAAAGGATCCAACACTTATCAAAGAGATGCTTTTGAAAGCTGAGGATAAATTGCCGTTCATTGGGAAGGCATTTCGTTTGGCCTTTGGACGATCAAGTCTCTTCTTTTGTTCGTACGACCAGGTAGAATTTTTTTTGTCGCTTGCCCTCACATTTAACTGTGTCATTATTGGTATAAGATTTGCAAGATTACTGAACTTTGAAGAATGTATGGTAACACTGAGTTTTATTAACGATTTCTCTTGTAAACCAAAATAAAAACCAAAGTCTTGTGGGAACAATTCATGTGTTGCTAGTGACTGTGTAGTATGCAACACAATGAAGCATGCACAGAATAGTTCAGAAATTGACATGCTAAGACACTGTTAACTTTTGGAATTAGGGAAAGTCCAATGGGTCTTGTGGGTTTGAATTTTCATATTTGGGAGCTTCGACAGAATATGAAGGGCAAGGACCCCTTGGATCTGTCTCTCTCTTTGTGGTTGAAAAGAGCACAAAGAAAAGAGAAACAACTCAACAACATCTTTATTGTTCATCGAGATGGCTGTCAATGGATACTGGAAGATACAAATCATAGACTATTCTTTTCTTCTCTCTCTCTCTCTCTCTCTGTTTTTCAGCTTTGTAATTAATTTATGTATATTCACTTCCAGTAGTTCCCACGCATAACTTCTTTCCATCTGCAGGCACAAAAGAGAAGAGAGTCACTGGCATTGGAATTGAATAATAAAATGCTTGGAAAGGCAAATGCAATCCCTAAAAATGTTGTGGACTGTATCATGGAAAGAGTAGATGCTATTATGAGCAAAGGAAGTGTTGAGTGTAAATTAGTTTCGCAGCATATGGCTTTTACCATCTTGGGGACCATGCTTTTTGGAGATATGTTCCTGGCTTGGTCCAAGGCAACTTTTTATGAGGAGCTTCTGATGATGATTGCCAAAGATGCTTCCTTTTGGGCTTCATATAGAGTTACACCTTTCTGGAAGAGGGGATTTTGGAGGTACCAGTCATTGTGCACGAAGTTGAAATGTTTAACTCTAGACATTGCTCAACAATGTGGAAAAAATTACAGACTATTTTGCCATACGGATCAAAACTCTCACATTGGAACTGAAAAAGTTGGAATAAAGGGTGTATCTGGTGCACCACCTTCTTCCAGTGTTGAGATGCAACATAAATTTTTCTCACAGGAGCTTGATGGCCATGGTAACGCAAGAGAAGAACCTTGTGGAAATATTATGGGTGTGATGTTTCATGGATGCATAGCCACGGCAAGTTTGATTGGTAGCATCCTGGAGAAGCTTATTACAGATGTGGAGATACAGGATAAGGTATGTGCCCTTTTCTTTTACTAAGAGGGGCCAAGTGGACCCAATTACGTGGACTTTAATTTCTGTCTGTTGTCCCTATTTTTTGAATTCCCTGCCAATTAATTTTCTCCAATTTAATGTAAGGCTAGGAGAGCTTGTCTGGATATAATAGAATTTCTCATTGGTGTCGGATATTTTCCACATTGTACATGTGCTTAATTCCTTCTTCATCCACATCTTTGGCTTCACTGAATAGGTGGATGGAAAATTGTTAAGCTTTCATAGTTTGACTATTCCATCTCCTTCAGCCCTAAGGGTAGACTGTGATTCCCTTTGAGTTCTATGCAGCATTTATTTGTAATTCAAAATTTGAAACTTTACAGATATACTCCGAGATAATGAAGGTAAAGAAGGGTTCAGTGAAAGAAGATCAAAATATTCAGAAGATGCTTTTGTTATTGGCAACCATTTATGAATCGGCCCGTCTTCTGCCGGCAGGACCTTTGCTGCAGAGATGCTCTTTGAAAGATGGTAAGAGATTGCCTTCTTTGCCAAGTACTGGTTTGCCAGTGCAGGATTTTGTTGTCTTTCTTAGATTTGTAGCTTGCTTGCAGTATCATGATGATTTGCCTGTTTTAAACCTAATTGTTTAAGACCTTTGCTTATTCCTGCTTATACATCTCAACATCAACTAGGCTTCAATCCATATATTTTGAAGCTGGAGTGGTGGGTCCTTTGCTCATTTCTATTAGATCTTCCTGAATTCATAAATTTATTTTTTAAGTTTTCTGCATGGTGCATATGGTTAAAGGGGGAAAAGAGAGAAGGGTGGGTGAAGCCTTCTCTGCCCAAAAATTACTGGAGTGAGTGGTTACACTAAGTCTAGCCAAAGGTGTTTTTGTATTAACTGTAATTTTGACATACCATTTATATCAGGCAAGGGGTTAAAGGATAAGTAACCAGTGGTTTATTCTTTCATTAGAGACGATCTGTTGCTGCTGAATTCAACCAATATTACATTGGCCTTGCGTTGCCGTAGTTTCTTCTTAACCTATCTGTATCTGTAGAGCTTAATTCATCATACAGCAGTGATTTCTACTCCTAATCATTCTAGCCAAATCTGGTTTCTGAAAGATTTCTATCATACATTGTTACTGATTCTTTCTCTTTCCTTCTTTTGATCGCAAGATTTGATTCTTAAAAATGGTGTAGTCATTCCAGCTGGAGCAGTGCTTGTTGTGCCTGCACAATTGCTCCAGATGGATGATTCTAGTTGGGGCAGTGATGCAAGCAAATTTAATCCATATCGATTCTTGTCAAAAGCTGGAAAGGATTCTGATTTGGTGCAGGATACATCACATACAGGTTTCACTTCTATCTATTTCCAAATATGATCGCTCCCAATATTAAATGAGTTATTTACATCTTATTTCAAGTACCCTTGTAATATGATTGATAATAACTGTTCATTGATTTCTAAAGTTTTTTGTTAATTATAGTTAACTAGTTATAGCCTTATAGGTGAACCTCGTGCCTGTAGGTGTCTGGGTGAGATTAGGCGACATAGCCACTCCTATCTATCTCACAGTAGAGTTGAGTTTAGTCTGGTGTTTGCCTTTGGTACCTGAACAAGTTCCTTGGAAAAAGAAATACAGGAAGACCTTTCTTTTTTAGCTAGGAGAATGCTGATTCCCTAAGCACATGCCTGGATTAGAAAATTTACTGTAGCTTCCCTCATATTTCACCATCCAAACCTTTTTAACTTCTCATAAAATATGAGACAACTGCTCTTTGCAGAGCCATTCAGATCTGGCTTTGGGAAGTAGAAAGTAATGGAGTAGAATGGCCCTCAAACTCTCTTCTTTCACTTGGGTCTAATATCCTAAAAATGTTGTTGAAGGCAGTATTTGCAAACATTGCATAGAATGCTGTGTCTTAAATAACATTAAGTCTGATTTTCTCATTTGTGATTAACTAATCTTTTGCACCAACTGTTCTATATGCTGCAGAAGAAGCTGTTGGTCCAATTCAGGGTTCATTCATTTTGAATGATCCAAATGATAATGCAGCATTTCTTCCCTTTGGTTCTGGCATGCGGGCCTGTGTGGGTCAGAAATTTGTAATCCATGGAGTTGCCACTTTGTTTGCTTCATTGCTTGAATGCTATGAGGTCTGTATTGAACTGCCATCATTCTTCGATTGGGAAATGTCATGCTGTTAAATTTGGTATACCGATAAATTAGCCATTTTGTTACTAGTTACTATACAGATTGGATGTGAATTAAGGCTCCAGTGACTGGGTTCCCAAATGTTAAAGATGCTGCAGCAAGCAAAAAGTTGTGTAAAAATCAATGCATTTGGTTTGTTTGACGAGTCTTATTTTCCAAATTTCCCTAGATTTGAAAATTATTTAGCGTCTAGACTTATTTGATGGGAATAATAGTTCCTCTTGTTTTGATACTTCTATTTGCTATGCACATGATCTTTGATCTAAAATTCTTTTATTTTTACACCAAACCACAGGTAAGGCTCCATCCTCAATTGGGAAATGACCCTAAATCAACAACTGGTCCAGAGATAGTGTTTGTGAGAAGAAACGTCTGAAAGATGAAGAAATGTGAAGGTTATAGTGTTACTTGTCCTCATTACTACAATTGTTGTTGTTGTATCTCCACATCATCGATGGGAAGCCCTTTCCTTTTTTTCGCTCTCTGGTCACCAAGGGGGAGGATGTTACATGGGCATGTTTTGTGGGCTCTTGTTTTTTCCTCTCCCTGTTTTAAATAGCTCAAGTGCTGTCCAAGTGGCATGATATTTTTTTCATGCTGAAGCACTCGGAGCCTATATTTGCTACTGAGCCACGTGGTTTTCTTCTCCATCTCTGAATTTACAGTTTTTTTTTTCAATTACCGAACTTTTTTTCTCTCTCAAAGAGGGAGTTTGTATTGTATCGTGATACCCACAGAATACCTTTTAAGGCTGTTAGCATGTTGGTTGAGTGAATAAATGTTTTGCATGCTAATGGTTTAGTTGTGCTCCTTTCTGCTTAATTTCTGAGATTGTTTGGATATGACTTGCAGCATAAGGTTTTCGCTACTCTTTAAGTTTCATTTGGAGGCTGTTGATGCTTCCGAATGAAGAAATTTGATTTTCTTAATTTCAGGTTATAAGCAGATTAACTGAGCCTTTTGTGGTCAGATCCATTATAGGGAAAGAAAAAAAAAAGGAGAGAGAGAGAGAGAGAGGAAAGTCTCTCCACTGTACTTTGGTTACCATGATTTCAAGGCCTTGTTATGTTCTGAGACTTAAAAAGCAGGGGTTGGGCACATGGAAAGTTATTGGTCTCGTCCATAGCTTTGTTGGCCAGAGAAATTGAAACCGACCTTCTGACACTTGCTTAAGTTATTATGCAAGATGAGTAAAGCTGAAACTTCTCTTTTATTTCTTTTTTCCTTGAGAGTAGGGAGGAGTAACATGGAACTTGAAAAATAATCTACATAAAGGCAATGGACGTATTTGTAATCTAAAACCCCACTAATTAGTTGAAAAGTACTTGCGAATATGTTACCAAACAAACGCTTAGTGCATCCCGTGGGTGCTAAGAAATGCCGTAGTCTCTGTATTTTTGTCCTTAGTTACGCCTTGGTCTCCTGTTCGAGGTTCATTTGTCACTAGTATGTAACTTCTCTTAATTTAAGGCTACAAATCTAGAAAACAAGGCATTTTGGGAGTGTTGAGGCCGTATGTTTGCTGGATGTTTCGCGCCAAATCACGGACTTAGGAATCTTTTCTTACCCCTAGAAAACTTAGCTTATCCTTTTCCCATTACTTAAATTCTAACTCTACCATGTCACCGAGGATGGGTGGAGTGGGAATTAATAATCTACTTTCAATTGATTATTCTATCATCATTGGTCAACTGATCCTAGATATACATTTTAAAGGAATGAATAAACTCTCCAATACTTTTTTCTAATACCTGATTACAAAGGGATTCTACTGGATACTCCCCACTAACCTCAGACATTAAAAAAAAAAAAAAAGAACTATTATTAGTACAAATTTATTCACCACCCTTGCCATTTAATTCATATCCTCTGCTAATTTAAGATTAAAAAAGTACTTCTAACTTAACAGTTTAATTAATATATATACTAATTTTGCAAAACGAATTAAATAATTTTTTATTTCAAAAGTTAATTAATTAGTCAACTGATTAGTATTGAAAATGATTACTTTAATATTATTTTATAAAAGGTGTCTTTTTTTGTCATAAATTATTCCGTATTTTTAAAAGAAAAGGAAAAAAATTAAATTACGAATAAATTTAAAAACGTAAACTTTAAAATTAGCAAATTTATTTAATTCAATTTGAAAAACTGGAAGGACTAATCTATAATTAACTCTTAATTCAGCATCATCACTGGTTTGTCTTTTTGACTTCTTTTCCGAAAGAAATTTCCAAATGGACCCACTCTTCCCCACCGGTTTCTGGAAGCTTACTCACCAAGCAAAAGATATATTCCAACGCCACGCGTCTCAAGGACCCTACAGACGACCACGTATAGACACGCGTCAAAATCTCCCTCCTCCATACAGAGGAACTAAACGAAGGAAGAAGATGACTTTAAAAACTCGAAGAGAAGGAGTCCAGCACCTCACCAAAAAGCCAGTAAGTCCCTACAAATCTATAAATACAAGGCCCATGATTTTCCCTATCTCCTCACTCTCCCTTTTATCCGTACTTACAGTCACAGCTATAATTACAGTTACAGCCACCCCTCCTTTAATTTCTGCTTCAGGATTCTGTAACGACAAAATGGCCACTCTAGGCGGCGTTCACGACTCCCCAGCCTCCCAAAATAGCGCCGAGATCGACAGCCTCGCTCGCTTCGCTGTTGATGAACACAACAAGAAAGAGGTAAACGTAATTTATTATTAAGAGATTTTTTAGATTTGAAATTGATGAATGGATGTGTGATTTTTTTTGTTTTTGTTTAATCAGAATGCGATATTGGAGTTTGCGAGGGTAGTGAAGGCGAAAGAGCAAGTGGTGGCAGGGACAATGCATCATCTTACAATTGAAGCTATTGAAGCGGGGAAGAAGAAGCTTTATGAAGCTAAAGTTTGGGTTAAGCCATGGCTTAATTTTAAGGAATTGCAGGAATTCAAGCATGCTGGTGATGTTCCTGTGTTTACCTCTTCCGATCTCGGTGCTAAGAGAGGTTGATTATTGATTACCTCCGGAATCTTTAATGAAGTGTTTTCATAGCTATTATGACCGTGACTAAGTGTTTAAAAACCTATGTTGGTTGTGCATTTTAATAATCCGTTTAGAATACTTAACGTTTGCTAATTCGGATGCTGGGTTTATGTTTTGTAAAAGAAGTTGCTTTTCCATGAGCATATATGTTTACTGTGTCGTGATGTGTTAGACAGTGAATTTACTATAAAAATATTTTTTAATGGAAAATAAATCGGGGGCGTGCTTACATTTCTTGAACCTCTCCATCGAAATCGATAGTAAGTGCTTATATTCCATTACTCGGCTTCATATGCAGTAGGATTGGACCCTGGTACTTGTTCTAGGAAATGGAAGTGGATCTGAATTTCAAAATCATAGTTGAATGTGTGTTAAAAATCCATTCATTGGGTATAATTTGTGGTGGAAGAGTATTATTAGTGATAGTGTTGCTGTCTTTACAGTTTACGGATATGATGATGTTGTGAGGCAAGCAAATGGTTCACATTACAGATGTTTTACTAACCATGTTGTTCCAATATGACATTGGATTGGAACACTAAACTTTAGAGTTCTTCTGGATTTGAGTGGTAGTATCATGCTAATTATGGGACATGTAAAACAGATGGCCATGCTCCTGGATGGAAAGCAGTGCCGGTGCATGATCCTTCAGTCCAAGATGCAGCAAATCATGCTTTGAAGTCGATCCAGCAAAGGTCCAACTCATTGTTCCCTTATGAACTTAAAGAGGTCGTTCATGCTAATGCTGAGGTCAGTTCTTCTTGTTCTTTTCTCAATTTTATTTTGCATGTTGCCTCTTTGTTGGTTTGAATTGGGATATGGTTTCACTGATTCTGGTATCTGCTAAATGTGACTCATTAATTCAATACATCTATATTTACATGTAGAAAGAGAGAGCTCTAAAACATTTGCCGAACTTCTGTAAGAAAATGAGAGATCGTAACAAACCATCAGTCAATCCCCGACTATTAAAGCTGCCTCTATCAATGATTAGCTAGGAAGTGTTATGTCAAACCTTATTGATGTTAAATCTCGACTAAATGTGTGTGGCACACACAGCAATTAGTAGTAGATTCGAGTATGGTAGTATTCTGGTGGTATTTGTTTTCTTTGCCTCCTTGGTAGTGTTGATTTATATCGTCTTGTTTCCTGAAGAGCATAAATACATAATAGAGCCATGGCCATAGGTTTCCCTATCTTTGGGAGTTTATGTTTAGGCATCATATTTAACACAAGCAAGAGTATAAACATGGCATTGATGAATATTTTACTTGTTAACAGGTAGAAGATGATTCTGCAAAATTTGATATGCTTCTCAAAGTGAAGAGAGGAACCGCTGAAGAGAAGCTCAAGGTGGAGGTGCACAAGAACCATGAAGGCAGCTACCGTCTCAATCGGATGGAGCCACATGTCTGACTTCATAACCTACTGTTTGACGTGTTAGAATGGCAATAAACTAGAAAGACTCGTTTGGTTTCAATGTAACTCTTTTTTTCTCATTTCTACGGTTGAGAATGGCTGAATGCACTGAATGTTGATGCTAATGTCTATTTCACGTGGAGTATATGTGTGGTTATCTCAGTCTGTTACTACTATCTATTATAAGGAAGACATGTAAAAGTGCGGGTCTATTCAGCATATGACCGCATAGGGCTAGGATTTATCGCTTATTTTGGTCTCGTTTTCTTAATGTGGTTCTTGTAATTTATTATTTTATTTACGAGGTCTCTCTATTGTAGATAATTTTTAGATTTTTTTTTAAATGTGGTTTTTTTAATAAATTTTTTTTAACGTGTTTTTTTTAAATAAAATTTCAGCCAATTTTCTGTCAACAAGTGGCAGATGGACTAACGCGTTGATATGCATTAAAAAATAAATTAATAAATAAAATAAAAGACTTAAAATTAATTTTTGAAATCATTTCTTTTTGGACTTGTGTTATTATTGATTGACTTGCCAGTCTAATACATGTGGCCTTAGTTCGTTTAGGATGTTTTTGATCAAATACATGCAATTTCGGTCCATTAAGAATACTTCGATCAAATGCATAAACGAGTAAAGGTATTAATTAAGGATGATAATGGTTGAATATTTGGTTTATTAATTTTTTTATCATATCCATAAAAAAAAAAATAAATTCTATCTATTATTCTTAAAAAAATCATCATAGGATATTATTATGGGTTTTTATAGATAGTTTTTGTAAGACAAACAATTATTTTTGTTCACAACTTATATATATTTATAAGAATTGTGTAGGTTAGCTAAAAATTGTAATGAATATACACATGTATGTGAAAAGAGGTATATTGTCAATATAAGTCAGTCTATGGTTAAAGAAAATTAATTTCAATCAGAGACTTTGTTAAATATTATAAATACAAAAATTATTATTCTGTTAATAAAAGTCGTACACGATTCCCAATTTAACAACTCTTACAATTTTTTTTTGAATATATATATATATATATATATTGGGTTTATTTACACAAATGGTAATGAGAAAACTCATTGAAATAATGCTAGAATTATCTTGCGATCAGATGACAATATTATCTATGTCCGATCCATCAATCTTGCAAAAAATACTCTAAATTTTAACTCACACATAGAAATGAAGAATACTCTAAGAGCATGAAAGACACATTAATATTCCCAACCTTTATATGAATAATCTTTCTGTACCTTAATTTTGGTTGACCAAAATAATTAACTGCGTACTAAACAAAATCTTAAAACTGTCGACGGGAAGCTAATCTTGTTAGAGAGTCATGTACTGGGCCCATCATCGTCGTTATCCCCAATTCACATGATCGCAAAGAATTATTTTCTTCCCATCCCACAAGTTTGATGAGTAGGCTTGAACTTCGAAAGTCACGACCCTACCAGCAAGGCCCATAGTGTTCTCACCCTAAGTCATGAGCGACGACGAAAACTTGTATTTTGGACCACATATCAAAGTATTAATGAAGAAATAGTTTTTTTTTTTTTTTTTTTAAAAAAAAGATTGATTTATAAAGTTGTTGGACACAATATTTTGATATTTAATTTTTAAAGTTTATGTAATTAGATATATGTATGTTAATATAAAAATTAAAATAAATTAATGAGTATTGATACGATAAAGAATGAATATTCATATCTTACAATTATATCAATAGATATATATTTTTATATTTATCCAGTTCAATACTTATTGAATATTTTTAATGAGTATTTATTATGTTAGATAAATAGATATTTGCTTTATACTTGGCTCATGATCATCCTGATATTAATAATAAAAAAATCAAAACTAATGATGGAATTTTATTTAAAGTTACGGAAGGATCATTGTCTAAACCTGCAAAAAAAAAAAATCATAATCAACACTAATATTGGCAAAAAAGTAAAAAATAATAATTACAACCATTGTAGTGTTTCATTAACAATCTCAAATAATAATAATTAATTAATTAATTTATAACAAGTATAATAGTTAATGGAATGGCATGGGTCCCACAAATACAAGATTGTCCAAACTCTCACCATTAAGTAAACAAAATCACGAGAGAGACAAGGAAAGAAGTCAAAAGTGGGATAAAAATCAAACGACAAAAACAAGAAACCTAGCTAACAACAACTTTGGACTTCGACAATTACTTTACGCTTCATTATAAATTCCAAACCATGCGGTTTTAACGCCTACAACACGCTCAAGTGAAGCCACTTGGCTTTCTCTCTTCAAAGCCCACTTGCCCTTTTGCTAACATTTTTTTATTTTTTATAACTAACACATCTAGCATTCATATTTAAGGATTCTAACAAAAACTAATTTGTTAAAATTCGATTCGGTAATCTTCTTATAAGAGATTACTAATATTGGACTATAAGCACTTTCTTCCTTTTGCTAACATTAGTTTCACTCATTTTGATAAATTAAAATTTTATTAGTTTTTATGATTATTAAATTCTTTTTTAAAATATTTTTCTTTTGTGATCAAATTTTCTAACCTTATCTATCACACACAAAATTAAAAGCACATTTTAAAAGAATAATTTCAGAATTTTAAAAAAAAACTCAAAGATTAAATTAATTGAAGGATCCCACAAAAAAATTAATTCTTCAAAAAAAAAAAAGTAAAAAAAAAATCTATAAAAGAAAGAATTAAAAACTAAAAACTTAGCAGAGTAAAAAAAAAAAAAAGAAATTGGGCCTTGTGCCTCTAGGTCCAGCCATGACATGCCTGGGCCGAGCTTGAGAGTCCCACACACTTAATTTTTTTTTCTCGGTAAAAGTAGCGAACGATACGCGGTCTAGGTATAAGATTTTTTTTTTCAAAAAAAAAAAAAAGGGAAACGACGTCCCGTCCAACTTGAATGACACGTCACCTTCTGCTTTGGAAACTCAAGGAACGGCAGCTATGGCTCTTCAAAACACTATTTTAAATCATTTTCCGCCCAAAAAATCCCAAAATCATCTCCACAATATTCATAAAACATTTTCCAACTTCGAAACTTATTTTAATCCACGTAAATTTCTCTAGATTTAAAATCAAATATTTGAAGCCAAATATAATATCGGTTTGGATCTTTACTTTCTTTTTTAATACTTTTTGTACCGAAATTATAGCTTAAATAATAATTAAAAAAATCTATGAAAATTCCTCTGGAATTAAAATCAAAGATTTGAAGCCAAATATAATGTCGGTTTCAATCTTCACTTTTATTTTTAAAGCTAAATTCAACCTTCATTTTCCTTATGAAACAAAAAATAATATCACTTTCGATCTTTGTTTTTTTTTAAAAAAATATTTTTTTCACTGAATTTGTAGTTAAATATAATATCGGTTTTGATCTTTATTTTTTTTAACACTTTTTTTGCACCGAACTTGTACCCTGAATAATACAAATTTCCAAAATTGGTAACATTGATAAGGCTAGGATTGCTTCATACCCAAGTTTAGGTAACATGTTTACGTGAGAATATTGCAAATGGGCTATAGTGAGCGAGAGAGTTGTGTTGTACTATGAAGATTGGAGCCGAGTGTTTCTTTGCGGATGTAGGACAGTCAAAAAATAAACTTAGAATGACAAACATTAAGGATTTTTTTTTTAATAGAATTCTTTTCCCTTGTCGCCATTGATCTTAATTTGGTTTGTCGGAGCATACATTCTTGAAACAATAAGCTCTCTTTGTCTTCCATTTCAACTTTCCAACAATGACGAAATTATCACTAGCTTGCTTGCTTGCCGTGGGTGCTTTGATCAGACTTGCACTGCACCATCAGAGCCCTCTTCCTCCCTTTCCAGTCTTCTCATAGTATAAATAAATCAGGGTCACCAAATAATTATGCATGTAATTGAACGAATTTATCACAAAATAAGGCTAGTGAGTTGTCTTGGTGGCCATTAAACTTGATCGACATATCCAAATCCTTCTTGCAAAGTGCGTGAAAGTGAAATTTGGGGTGTGAAAACGAAACTCGGTCTAGAATTAAATTGGTTTTGATAAACCTTGTGTACCACATGATTCAGAACTCTGTCCGTTTGTTACAACGATGAGATTTGATTTGAATTTGCAGACCAAATTTGTGTTGCTTAGACCAAATTTGATCTGAATTTTGACAGAGTAATTTAGGAGGAGATCTTCCAAAGTTTTCAAAAGTTGCATATTGATCCCCAGTTGTGCAGTTCTTCCATCTCGAATTCTGGAGTAATCAACATTGTCTGTCTTCAAGGAGTAGCTCTCCTTCAAGTCTTGTGAATTCTTATCCTCGAGCTTGAAGGAACCATGAAGACAAGTCTGTTTAATCACTGTCCGCAAACTATCATTCAAGCTTGGCATACCTAATCCATGCTCAAAACTATTGTCTTGTCGAAAACCGAGGGAACTAAATTGAAAGAAGAGACTCTCGCTCAGTCTTTTGGTTCAAGCTGGGAAGATGGTCTTGCTGACATTAATCTCGATGTTGGGGACGTGAGAAATCTTGTCCAAATCTTCCCCATTTTTCAACCTTTCTTCTTGCAAAGGACATCCCCAGATTGCAAGAGAAGAAAGGGAAGAGGGCAGCCCCTCATCTGGCATGGTTTCAAGCTTAGAGCAAGCTACAATCTCCAATTTTCTCAGATGTGTGAGGTTTTGAAGCTCCTTGGAGTCCAGAGATGTCAGATTTAGAAGACCCCATATTGTAAGTGATGTAAGACTTGAGGGCAACATCATCTTCTCTGGGAAGGATTCCGCATCTCGTAGTGGACCAATTTTAAAATTTGAAAGAGAAGATAGTGATTGTAAATGCCATTGCATGCGATTAGGAACGAGTTTGTGGCACTCAATGATCTCCAGAAACGGAAAACCACCTTCTGGAATGGGCAAGCATATAGAATCAAATCCACTAGGGAAGGGAGAAGGGAATGGAAAAGCTTAGGCAATGACTCAAAATTTATGCATTCAAGTAACTTGAGCTTTCTCAACTCCGGAGCATGTAATTCAGGAAAATGTACCAGCTTAGGACATTGTAATATTTTCAGAGAAGTGAGAGATATTAAATCCATCAAGACATTCCTCATTTGCACATAGTGATTCAAGATCTATTAACATAACTGAGGCTTTGATGGACCCTGGTACCACTCATCCTGAGGCTTGTGATCTCGTAATCCCATGGCTGGACCGAATGGGCCTACCAAAATCTTGGGGAAGAAGCAGGATACTGCTATATGAAGCAAGCTTTCATGGCCTAAGGCAGGGTTATCGATAACCTAATTAAGGGTTTGATGAATCCTGACGGCCACCCATCCTGAAGCTTGTAACCCTTAACCCCACTGCTAGGCCGAATGGTCCTACCAACGTCGTGTAAACGAAGGAGGATGACGCTGTACGAAGCTAGCCTTCATGGCCAAGGTGGGATTATCAAACCGTTTTAAGCTAAATCAACCTTCTATTACCTTAATACCCCCACTTGAGCCATAAGCCCACACTACTAAGGTCATGATCACCACCTTAATACCCCCACTTTGGGTCATAAGCCCATATTACCTTAATACCCCACTTGGTCTTTGATAAAAAAATCTATCTCTCCCCCTTCCACGAAGTGAGTCAATTCTTTTTTATTAGATGGTCCAAAATATTTTTTTTTAATTAAAAAGTAAAAGAATTGAATTTCCAATTTTACTCCTCCTTTAATTAAAAATAGAATTTACATTTTTTTTCAACTACATTTAATTTAATTTTAAAAGAAAATGTAGTAAAGTTTAATTACCCTTTACCCTATGGCCATATTTGGACAGAACCTGATGTTCTCTTGATGTATTGTCCATAAAATAAGATTTAAGCCATGAAAAAGTGAAGGTTCGGTTGTATCATACCACTCTAGCCAGCAGGGGTGTGGATCCGGATGGCACCAACCACCAGAACAAAGGGCTTCCTTGTGGCTAGCTCTCTATGTGTACAGTACCACATTGTGGCTGGTGTCAAATGAATCCCGCTCTGCGAAGTCAGGTCGGAGGCCAAGCTGTGCTGCGGTCCTGGCTGGGCCGAGGCTAGCTCTACCGCTAGGACGGAGTAGAGCAGGCTGCACTGTGTTAAGCAGATAGCCATGCCAGCACTGCACAGTATGCACCTGGCCAGCTCCAAAATCATGGCATTTCCTGAATTGAGTGCAGCGAATCACACCCTGTTCCATCACTTTAATGCCCCCCAACTTTGGGTCACAAGCCGGCAGGACCTGGCTAGGGGATACATCACTAGTGGCATTGCCCTTATATAGTCTGCGAGGTAGCTCATTTCTTACCAATATGTGATTTACTTGAAACATAAAGCAGCAAAAGGGCTGTTCGGTGTAACGTGAAAAGTATCAAACCGACTACAGCTATACTTCCTGATGGACCCTGACTAAACTAAAATGGAAAGAGTTCACATACAACATTCTCAAATAGCAACTTCTACTAAGGCTCCCCCATCCTTCCTGCATCAGATAGTTGAGTTACACAAACTAACAATCTCATATTGTCAGCAAATCTACTACTACTGGCAGTTGTTAGAGAGAATGAGATAACAGAAGATGCATAAAGATGATGACACGGAATAAAAAGAGAAGATCAGAATCAGCATTTTCCTAAGGAGAAAGATATTGCATATTGCATTCTCCACCTAGAGTTCTTACCCTGCTGTTTCTTTTCTCTCCTTGTCTCTATGTCAGCCACTAATCTCTCCTACGAGCCTCAGCTAATAGTAAGATCAGCCTTCTTCATCATAATCTTCCTCCTCCTCATCTAATCTTGTGCTGAGTTGTGCAAGCTGAAGAGGGTCAATAGCCATCTTGTCCATCTCCGAAAGAGACCAACCTGGATATTCTTCATGATTAGTTTCAGCAGCAGGCTCTGCTGATGAGCTAGGCGCTGCAGTGGTGACGGCTGGGGCTGGTGCTGGTGCTGCCGCTGCTGCAGCCTTTGCTTCCTCACTATCATTAACCTCTGCATTCAGATCAAAGTTTCGTTCTGGTTGATTAGCAGCATCACTGACTATGCTATTTTCCTTCATAGATTCCTTTGACTCTGAGCCATCGTCCATCACTACTCCAGGATTCAAGTTATTTTTAATGCTCTGCAGAACAGTGGTGGAGGATTCGGGTTCAAGGTCACGACTAGAAGACTCTCTTTCCATATTTCGAGCACCTCGACCACGACCCCTCCCTCGTCCTCGACCTCGACCTCTGCCGCTGCTGCCTGCATGGCTCATCTCATGCTGCAAGAACAAAGTCAAAAAACTCTTTAAATCCCACTCCAACAAAGAACATGAGATACCCAACTTAAACTGCTAACGTCTTCCCATGTTTGAGGTGCCTTTAGGGGGAACATTAATAGCCAGTGGAACTAATTATGTGAACTGTGAAGTCACAGCAAAACTCACTCCCCAAATGATTAAATTGGAGGTTAAATATGATTGAGCATAATGTTACTACCTTTGAAACCTAAAAAAAGGAACCATAAAAAACCAACCAATTGATGATTGAAAATAGTGCAGTAAAAAGTTCACATAAGAAATATTTCAAGGGGTATCCTACCATCCTGCTTCTCTTCAGCTCTTCATCACTGTCATTGCACTCATCTCCAGTGGGCTTTCTGGAAGAATTACATACAATTAGTAAACTAATTTGTCAATCCAAGATGCACATAAAAAAATGAGTAAAAACGAAACAAAAGTAACAAGATCTCTCTAACCACCTCTTTTGAAGAGGTCTATGATCTCCAGCAGCATCAGAGTGACCATGACTATAGTCAGGAACCCTGCTGACAATTTCTCTCAGAAAATCAAACACATTATAGCTCTGTACACAGTGTTTTCTGCAGTTTAAACAAGCAATTCAATTAGATCATATCCAAAATAAAAGGTAAGAAAGGGGTTTGTATGTGAAACATAACAAGATAAATTACAAAAGAGAAATGACGCCATACAACAAAGAATAACACCCAAAAGGGAGGGAAAAAAACACTGAAACACACACACACACTATCTGAAAGAACAGAGGAGAGCCACGGTTGGAGAGTGAGAAGAGCAGAGAAAAAAACTGCAACTAGCTTCACATATCTTGCTTAACAAAGCACACGCAGATGATAAGAGGAAACTGAGGACTATTAAACTCAATCATAAATGGTCTCCACACGAAGGTTTCAAAAGGAGTTTTCTGGTGGTGGTAGCAACTTCTAGCTACCAACACACACGCGCAAGCAATCTCGTGTATATAGAGGTGCTTAAGACTTGCTACAACCAAAGTACAGTAAACAGTTCAAAGACAATCATTCTGATCGAAGCATTTTAGGAGGAGGACCCAGTACATCCTAAGCCCATTATAGATGGAAATCAGATGGTTTTATTTCCAATCAGAATTTCATGCTTCTATTCAAATAATACAAACCCATAAATTGTTTCAACTGGGTGGTTTATTTTTAGATTAAAAAAAAAATTGTGAAAATTCGATGGTGGGCCTTGAACACAGTCTCATCGCGAAGCTAAGCTCACTATGAAAACTTACCAAAATAAAGGAAATCTGGAAGCAGGTATTTCATTTTATATATCTCATACTGTTCCATTAATTCATGCACATACTACTTTCCCAAAAAACTAAAACCATGCAGAATTCACTAGGTCTCCTGAACAGACTCATCCATGCTGTAAGGTTAAACCTATCGTTTAGAAAGAGAATCAACATGACAGTTGGACAACCAAGCTGTCCAGCCCCAAAACCCTACTTGGCCATAAAATATTGGCGAGAACATTGCACGTGGTAATTGAACTGCAACTGATCAACCCAGCATTGTTTCAAACAACTGCGTGGTTTATTCATAGACAAAAAATAGAAAAAATTTGATGGTGGGCCTGGAAAAAGTCTCATTACCAAACTAAGCTCACTAAACCACCAGAAAAGGCTATCCTTTGCTTTCTTCTCCCTTCATTTTACAAGAAAGAAGATCGTAGTAGAACTACAATTTACCATTTAATTCACACCTTGATGAAAATAGATGGATAGAGACTGTGTGCTCATAAATTAACCGACATGATGTGCATATCAGGTTGCATATGCTCATCCATTAGCTTATACAAGCAAGACTCTTAAATGAATGAGAACAATTCCAGACTTACAAATGCAGTGAACTCATAGTCTTTGCTCCTCGCTGAAGTGTGATCTCATATGTACGGTCACAAAGGTCTTGAAGAAACAACTCCAATGCTTTGGCTGCATTGATATCCAAGAAAAGCATAAGCAAGCAAACATTTTTGTGAAAGACTGAAGGCTAAAATCATAAATAGTCACAGCTACTTACAAACTAAAACAGGCACTGCCAGTGCTATCTTCCCAACATCCTCATCAGCTTGCATAATTTTCTTTATGCGAGCCTGCCAAATTAAATTTGTGCATCATATAACAACACTGGTACAAAAAACTTCACCCAAAGCAATAACTTTAAATTCATATAGAATTTTCTATCGATTTTCCAATAATGGAAACATCAACAATAGCACACTCGGTTTCAAGGTGTTATATGGCTCTCGAGTTGAAGAAGTAAGAAAATGATCTAAGCAAGCCTTAAAAAAAAAGTATCTGCACAAGCTACCTAGGTTCCAGCAAGACTTAGATGCATCAACATCTCAAAGAAATAGTTTTTTTCCTGAATGGCTCTATAGGCATCTTTATCTATAACTGCCTCAATATCACAAGCTGATGCCACAGCTTCTTCCAAATTCCTCAAACTGCCATGCAGAGCCTGATAGTCAAGTGAAACCAGATCCAATAGGCCTTCTTGAGTTTGTAACATCATATTATGCTTCTGATATAATGTTGCAAAAAGGGGGAAATCATCCTCAAATCGTTCCACAGTAATCAATTGGAGCCACAAGTGAAAAGTTCTGTCATACTCTAATTTTTCGGCTATTTCATGATCTTTAATGGAAGTGACTAGTGGCGACTAACCCATGGGTGCACTGAAAAGCACAACTTATTAAAATGTTCTTATGCAGAGATGTTTGAAATTGTCAAGAGAAGAAGGAAAGGGATATCTGGGAATGAGAAAGGTTTAAAGATATGAACAGATTTTCCTTCATCAGATGCATGCAGGTGCCGCATGAATGTCTGTCTTCGAGGAAAGAACCGGTCACTATAGCGAGGGTTTACAAATGCAAGGCCAAATAAGCATAAAATAAATTGTAACCCCATGCTAAAATAATGCATTATAATTGATTGAGTGTGCTTGAAAACAGCAACTCAAAACACATATTTAGACCAGATTGAAGTCCCCATTTCTGTATCATTAATAACAGGCACACTAGCCATTTGCAGGCAAAAGAGGAACGTTTAGAAATGGCCCCAATCACAGAAACAAAGCTAAGGCTAAACCTAATCCAAATAAAACACAGATCTTAAATCATCCTTTGAAAATACATACATACTGAATGACTATTTTTAGTAGCAACTGACAACCACAACCAACAGAAAAAACTAGAGGAAAAAAAAATCAAAACCTGCATCCCTTGAATCTATCAACAACTAAATTCCCATCAACTAATTTGAAACACAACTTTACAAGCCCACATGACAAGCCTATGCCACAAATAAAAGAAAATATTGACCATAACCAAAACCGAAACCAACAGAAGAAACCTACTCAACGGTATCCACACCAAGAATTTACTAAGCTATGAACCTCATAACATCCCAAGGAAACAAAAACCCATCAACTGATTTCATCACTCAGTCATTCAATCAGCAATAAAAGCAGCCCCCGTCCAGAAGAGAACAAATCCCACGCTATATATCACCATAATAGCTCCATAATTGACACAATTACCAACTAATTATACTCACTATTCATAAAAACACTAATCCCTCGAAAAACAAAACACCCATCAGCCAGCTTCACCTAAAAATCATGACACTTGCAGTAAACAAACCCAAATAAAGAAAAAAACCAGACCCAGATCATAAATCCTCATAAATTCTCTATTTTAAGCTAGTTCCAACTCTAAACTAAAATCCAACGATAAAAAAAGCTCTGAAACAAAACAAACAGAACATATAACCAGTCATTCTATCATTCAACAAGCTTCAAACTTTCCCTTCATTTCTCAACTACCAAACAAACAAAGCAAAGCCTAGATCACAAAAAAAAAAAAAAAAGCAAAGAAAATAAAAAAGAGATGCATACAGCCAATAGTCAAACTAACATAACATCAACAGAACAACCAATAAATCAATCAAAAAGCTTCAAACATTCCTTTCGTTCTCTCAACTACTAAACAAACAAAGCAAAACCCAGATCA